GCATCCAAAAGGAAGTTGCCTACCAAGAAATCCGTTGTCAAAACGAAGTGCCCATGGTGGATCACCACCATTCAATTGTTTGACAATGTTTATGGCCATCGCATGATGTTTGGAGGCATAAGGCCACAAAGAAAGAGGCATGTTGGCCTGGAGGAGGTTGGAGCGCGCCCCTTCCAGAATGGTGCGGACTTCACGCTCAACAACCGCTTTGGTGGAATGTTGATATTCAACAGAAGTCTGGTGTTTGAAACCAAGTTCTTCTATGGCATCCAGCATTTCTGGAGCATTGTCGGTGTACACTATACCAACAATATCAGAAGTCTTCAGAAAATGTTTGAAAGCCTTAACAATAGAATCGGCAGTCTTGTTTTCAGAAGGGTAAACACATCTGTATTGAGTATAAATATCTTTGATCACCAACATTGACGTTTGGCCTTCTATGCCTTCTTCAATATCTTTGGGAATAACATGGTCGCACACTATGTGGTCGCCAAACCCACGCGCCAAAACATGTTGTGATCCGCCTACGCTTCTACCGTAGGGAGCAAGCATTTTAGCTTCGCTACAAACATCGCAGTAGGGATTCTTTGGTCGATGTGTGAATTGATGCGCCCCTGATTTTGCTTCCTTTCGAAGTTGCTCTTCGGTCTTCTCCCCTGCTACGGGAACGTCTTCAAAATCAAAAGGAACCTCAACTTCTGGGTCACTGTCCTCTTCGTCCTCCTGTCCATCATCGGCATTGGCATCTACGCCAGCTTCGTCAGCCTCCTCTTGGTCTTCCTCGGGTTCGGACTCATGGCTGGCCATGGCGTAGCCCTGGTCGATGGTGAACTGGTGGATGGAATCGAGTACCTTAGTAAGGCGAGTCCTCAGTGATTCAGGAATTGAGAATGGGGTACATGTTTCATCAATATATGGAACCCTACCTTGCAATTTGAATTTAACGCATTGTCCATCAGGTCGAAGAAATATGGGAGTAGTGTCCTTTCCCCAAACAAAATCATATCCCTGTTCTAAGCACCTCAAACCAATTGAAAGTGCAGAGGGAGTACTTTGGAGAATGTAGGGGTTGAAGGATTCACATAACCCTGGCAAGATCACCTCTACTACTTCGTCAGCAGTGATAGGTCCATTGGCAGTAGTAAGGGAGATTGGTTCGTTGGATTTGAATATCTTGGTGGCCCTGTTGACTGTCTTAGAGTCCTTACCTACGATGTCCTGGTCAGTGCCAGTGTCACCCAGCCACTTCTCCATACCAACCATATTTGGCATCGCTGTTAAGCGAGCACATGACGGCACCTGTTCTCCGACGACTGTTCTGCACTTCGTGCAGCACAAATCATCGGGGCCTTCTGGGGAATGTTCACAAAGGAAATCACACGCAGGCTCCTCGGTATCCATCGAAACGAGCATCTGCCTAAGTGACTCCGCTGCCAAAATGGCGTCCTTAGTGTCACACTCGCGGGACTTTGGGCATTCCTCAGTGGTCCGGAACAGGTTCCGCTTCTTGCTCTTATTCACTACATGCCGGTACATTTCCTTCCAAACAGGAAAGGTGTGTACCTCCGGTTCTAATTCAAAACGAATTCTCTTCTCTTGCACAACACGGAAAATTGACTTTCCAGTCCAATCAAATTTCTGTTTCGCGTTTGGGTGTTTCTTCCAATTACCCTTGATTGTCCTACTCTTTCCCTTTGAGTCAGTGACTACCATGGTAAACTGGTCTTCCAACCTAGATGACTCAACTGGACAGGATTTACGTGTTGGTAGAAACGACCTGTGCCTAGGCTTCAAATGGTGCCTAATCAACTCATTGCCATCTTTGGAGAATTCCCAGTAGTCTTTACTCTTTTGGGTCCGAGTTGCGGTTGCTGCTAAGCAAGACATTGCGAAACCTGTTTGAATACATGGACTGGCCTTTGGACTTTTGTCCTTCTTTTCCCGTTTGCTCTTTTTGTCCTTTTTGTCCTTCTTGGATTTCTTGTCCTTAGACCTTTTAGCTGCGGGCGAGGGACTCCTTCTGCGCGGGGCTGGTGTTGCAGTGTCTCCGTGTTTAAACGGGCATTTGTCACCCCTTTTGCAGTTACCCTTTGCAAAGAACCTGCATGGCTTGTCAGATTTCCTCCCTCTACTTGAGCTTCTTGATGAGTTCCTTGAACTGGAGCGGGAAGTGTGTCTTGACGAACTTCGAGATCGGCTTGACCTGAACGATGAACGGCTGCTCGGACTTGCGCTACGCGAACGAGACGACTCCCGACTAAGGGAGCGGGGACGGGCGCTAGAGTCGTGTGAGTACTTGCATTTGCTCCCGTACTTACACTTACCAGTTTTGGCATACTCATAGCATTGATTGCTTCCGTCACCCTTTGTGCTTCGTTTGCCATAACTTGGGCTTCGCGTGCGCTTGTCGTGCGGTGCCGGGTTTGCGAACTTTGCCGCGTGTGATTGTGATATCTTTTCGCGATTGGTCCTGAGCCTTTCCCTGTCAAGGTAACGTCGAACAGAATTGATAAGAAATTCATAGCTTCTGTCGTTACTTCCCTCCGGCGCTCGTTCATAAACATCAAGGTCAAATCTGAGCTTGCGGGACTTCCTAACCTCTCTATAAAACAGATCCTTGAGAGTTGCCGGGTCTGGGACATGACTCATTCCGGTCAGAACACTCTCCCATTTTCTTAGAAAGGATTTTAAGTCGTCGCTATCAAGCGAGATCTTGAGGAGGTCCTCAGTGCCATACAGTGCACCCGCTTCTTCACTGGTCTTGAAGTGGACTTCAAACATGAGCAACACCTGACGACCACGGACGATCCTACCTTGCTGTGCCTCAGATTCCTTATAATTAAGGATCTGCTGAGACAGTTCACCTTTGGCAACCTTAGTTAAAGCAGCAAGTAATTTCGTGTCTAAGGTCCGAAACTTGCCTGGGTCAGCCAATTCGGAACAAAGCTTTGCTTTGTCTTCACGAACAGCGTACACCTCAAGCACCCATGCGAACGCAGCGTCTGGGTCATCGGATGCGGACCGAATCGCTTCGCGAACCGCGGCCCTCCAAGTGCGGTACCTGTCAGGACTTGGGAATTCAGGGAGATCTATCTTGTCAGCCTCCTTTGCCTTGGGCTTATCGGAGTCTTTGCTTTTAGCGCCCTTAAACCCTTCTAGCAAGGCCTTCTTGATGATTTCCCCCAAATCTTGGTCTTGTGGAGTTCTTACCTGAGAAGCCGGCCCTTCTTCTCTGCGATCATCCTTAGTCTTTGTTGCTTCCTGATTAAAGGAGCTTTTGTACAAAGGATCATCACTGAAGTTGTATTGTGTTGACTTCTTCATGTACTCCATCCACGGATCCGGTTGTTTGAATTGTTGCCTGTCTGTAGAGGCCGTTGCCTGTTCCGCTGCGGGCGCCCCTGTCCCTGAGAACATTGATGGGAATCCTGTGTTGCGCACGGACGCTGTTGCATCCATAGCTGTCTTTATAGGAGATCCACCTTTATCAAGGGGCTTACCGTCTAAGGTTGCTGGAACAGTGCCTTCCGTGCGTAGAGGTTCAAAAGATTGCGGTTGACCAATTGGGTGAGCATCTTGTCGAGCAGGAGGTGTGAATGGCTCAGGGTATTGCGGCCCTGGCTTAACGGGGCTAGAGGATTGCGCTTTGCGCTCCGCTTCCTTGCGTTCCTCTTCCCTGTCTGTCAAGGACTGTACGACACGCCTGAGCTCGTCCATTTCACCCTTCAACATTGCATTGTCCTTGCGAAGCTCAACTATAGTTTGCTCTTGCGTTTCCCGATCAACCTTATATTGCTTATTTGTTGTCTCCATCTCATTGACAAGAGTTTTGATCTTTGCCTGTGCAATTGCTAACGAACTGTCCAGTTGTTCTCGCTTGAAGTCAAGCTCTATGGCGATCCGGGATTCTTCAGCAGACGAATGTCTTGCCTGATCCTTTGCCTCTAGAGCTGCCTTCAGCTTGGCCTCCTGTTGCTCAACATACTGGTGATGTTCAGTTCTCATTTTGTCAACAAAAGCATTGCCTTCTTCCGCCATGGCATTCTTTTCCTGTACAACTTTCTCATGAGCTGCTGTCGCCTGAGCTAGCCGCTGCTGAAAATGTTCCCTTTGCTCCTCCAATGTACCTTGCAACCGTTTGATTGCAACATTGTCTTGCTGTTGGACCATTTGCTGAACACTTTGTTCCTGCTGTTGGGCCCTTTGTTGAACATTCAACATTGCCTGCTCTGCGGCAGCCTTTGTTGCCGCTATAGATTCGGAAGCTTCTCTTTCATAAATACTCCTGAAGCGCAATGCCTCGATTTCAGCTTCCCTCCTGGCTTGTTCGCTGAGCAAAAACTCATGTTGTTGTAACTCCCGTCGTAGTTCTTCGTCGTTTGGCGATGCGTTCAGGTTGACGACGTTGAGCCGAGTCATTGCCAACAAGTTGTTTACTGTTGGCGCACCAGCTACGGTGGCTGACGGCATACCTGCTAGGGTAGCTTGTGCCGCCTCTTGAAGAGTAACACTACCACCACTATTTAGCATCTCTTGGTACACCTCCGAAGCAACCCTTGGATCCATTGCAGCCACTTGTGCAACTGCCTGTTCATGCCGTTGAACTGCATCCAAACTATTGGGCACACTCGGAACTATGTCAAAGCCACTTCCGTAGGCATTCGGTGGGACGTCGTCATCCATTGGGTCCATAGCTCTAATCTAGCTAGCCTACGGCTGATAACCTGTATTTTACAGGATCAGCTCTAATAGTACTAACTACCTAGCTAACCCTGCTAGCCCGGTAAGCGCTACCTTTTGCTCTACCTTGAGAGTCAACGCTACGGGGTCCATGGGGATGAGGTGAATTTCAACAGTAACTATAGGCCTATAGGCTTTTGGTGACCCATGGTGACTCTAACTCACTAGGCCTAGGCTTTTGACCCATGGTGACGACCTATACTCACTGCTCTATCAACAAACCGCCGCACCGCCTCCAAAGCAGCCCACCCTGTCTCTGCCTCGACGCTCGCCTTCCGGTCCGCCACCACGGGCGTCAACAGCTCCTCCGGCCGTTGCCAGACGAACAAGCGGGTTCGTGTGGCTGGTCAGGAGTGCCAGTGGACCAGTGATTATATCTGGACCCCCAAATAATAGATATAGTTATTTTTTATTTGGGGAACACTATTATCATATTGATTTATTAATCTACACTCTGGCCGAACACCATCCAAGAAACCCAGCGTTTTTTTTGGTGAAGTCACGTTCAACATGTTCAACATAGTCGGACTGCAATCGTTGGAGCCGAGAACGTTGAGTCCCAGGCCAGTTCGGTGCCGGTCAGACCGGGAGGTCCCGGTCGCGCCCGGGACGGAACGTTTGATGAAACGAGGTTTTGCCAGCTCGCAAGGGGGGAGCGGGTGGGTTTGCTTCAGCAGTCTTTCTTGAACAGCTCGGGCGGACCCAATGAGCCTTGGCATTGCATGAAGGGGTCCACGAAATGCTCCTGTACTCCTGACTTGTGCCTGGGTTTCATGGGGAATTGTGTGATTTTGGTCTGTCTTCATGAAAGGAGCACAGCAAGAAGCACTGTTCTGCAAAAAAGAACGGCCTCTCGTCCACCGCTCTGCACCTTCTTCCGCTCGGCGATCTGCTTCAGCGCCCCAGTGACGTCACCTGCGGAGTCGAAAAGGCTCGGCGCAAGGGCGGAAGGGTCGCCGCGGACGAGGCGACGTCGCCTGCGCCAGGAGAGAGAAGTCTGGAGACCAGATCTTCAGGAATCTGCTCTGGAGCGCTTGGGCTTCGTTCACACGCGCACTCTGACATGTTAACCTCGCTCTGCGCACAAACAAGCCTCACTGCCCATGTCCATGGCCATCCTAAATCATCCCATCATCCCAGCAATAGCGGAAGCTCCCGGGACTCCCCGCCTCGCGCTTTATCGAAGATCCGCTGTGTCACGAAGAGCCGCGCCCTGACAGGTTGATGCAGGGCATTGCAGGGCCATGTAGAGCGTGTTGATGTGAGCTGGCTTGTTCAGTCAATGGGCGGGCTGGGCGGTTTGCAAATGCCACCTGTAGGTGGAACCGATTGGAACCGCTGAATCGCTGACGGGTTCCCTTTTTAGCTTGTTTATAGTATAAGTTATAGTTAAAAAATTATAAGACATCTTTTCATGGCAAGTCTACACCCTATCCCCAGTAAGCCACTCAAGTCCAAGGCACTCTTCCACATTCGCCTGCAACTCACGAATAGGCTTCACCTGGGCGGTTCAGAATGGACTAACTGGTGGCTATGGCATACTGCTTGGTATACTAATAATAGTGACCATTGTCAGGCAGCGTTGGAAGACCAATGCCTACAACCGCCTTTACATGAGTCATACCATGTCATACCCCTACTGCGATCATACATCTGGAATGGTCCACGGTTTTGCTGCTGGAAAGTATCGTCTGTCAATTGGTTGCACGGACCTCCTTAAGTGTCTTAAACGTCTTCTTGAACTGGTGATGTTTGCTGTCGATGTCCGTGAACCAGCTGTGCACTCAAGTTCTGCACTCACTGAGGCTGAGGATATATGGGTGGACATTCAATAGGGACCCTTAACCAATGGGTAGACTCGTCTAGTTCCCTTCTTTCAGGGGGTCGTTGGGAGGTCTCTATTTTTCAAATACACACCCATATAGTATGTCGTTTTCTGATGTGCAAATTGGGACTGCCCTGGTGCTTTGCCGGCCTTATCCTCGCCGCAAGTCTCTTCGAGCGGCAAGGCATATTGAAGCAACCTGCAGCATCTGCACTTGGTGCCAAGTGTGGGCGATGGCACTTGCACCCCACCCACGGGCCCACCAAATCTCACTCACTAACCAACGCTTATAACGTCATCTTGCAGCGGAAGCTGGGTTTTGGCCAGTCAGCCCAGAAAGAGCCACAGGACTCAAGCGGGTGTGAGTGAAAACCGAAGCATACTGAACCCTCCCTCTTTGGAACCGCAAAAGAATATTCTGTTCGATGGGAACGCCCTCTGCCTGGGGTGAACTGGGCCGGCCACGGTCACACACGTCTGACTCCGTTGGTGTGAGTCAGACAGTGAGACTAGAGCCAAACTAGAGCCCTGCAAAAGAAAATATGGCCAGAACATGCCAGAACGATCCACCTTGTAGTGTGGACGAGTAATCTAGGGGGCCATCAGTGAGTGCTATGTGATCTGCACTTCATTTGGCAAACACTCTGAAACCCTCTACCCTCTCGGTGGTTCATTGCTCTTTCAGCCGCCTCCCTGCAAAAAAGCACCTCAAACCGCTCGGGCTTCTCCAAAACAGCTCACGCTTCTAGATCATCCTAGATCTTCCAACTATGCAACATGCAACATGTCCGCCTTATTCATCCCTAAAAAATAGCCCAAAGGATCCCAAAGGCGAGGACGCATATCGATCTGAATGATCCTTCGATGTAACAGTAACACGACCGACCGTGCGACTCCCTGAGATGCCCCACGACACAGGGTCCTTGTTGACCCGACTTCCAGAACCACTGGTGCCACTGGACCGTGCGTAGGCCTCGACCGAGGAACCGACGGACCGAAACGGGACCCAACATGACACCGTGCTAGGAACGGCTTGTTTCGGCTTGGTGTCCTTTCCAAAAAGGAGAGGGTTCTGAAATAATCTAGACACCCTTATTCTCTTTGTCTTGCTTTCCTGGGCCTGTGCCGGGAAATCCTTCAAAACCCATGGCAAAGCATGTGGTGCCCTGGGTTTCATCAATAATAATAGCTTTCCACAAAACCCTATGAATAAAATGGCGGAACATAGTTTATCCTAAATCCCTAAAGCTACTCCCAGCATCCTACAAGGAGTCACCTGTTTTCTAGCTAAGGCTGGTACAAATGATCTTACCGCCTTGAAACCTCCTCCGCCTTGGTTCAAGGGAGGTCCCTCCCATGGTCTGTTCGTGTGTTTGATCCGAAGACGAAACCAGCTGAATTCAAGTCCTGGAGATGAGAATTGCAGAGACATGTTGAAACACCGCCCCACCCGTCGATCTGTCCCAGCGGCCGCGGCAGGCCCCAAGCTGCTTGAGCCCAGCCTCAGCGTTTCAAGGAGAAACAAAGAGCGTGGTGGGGGAGCAAAGGCTGGAGATTTTATCAAATTTGGGAATTTTGGATGTACGAGTTTGGGCGCAGGTGTCACCTACCTCCGACAGATGTGCCCCCCAAGTGCCATGAGCCCATTCGCACGACCTATGCATTGATTGACTCCAGCTCGAGCAGCACGAAGCACTTCGCGTTTCGTTGCCGGTGCACCCAGAACTGGGCGCCCCAACTCCACCTGAGGCCCTACGAAGGCCACCTCAGCTGTCCGCGTCCAACGCGCGACGAGCGCCAACGCGGCGCCCCGAGCGCTCCGCTCGTCCTCCCCTTAGGGGCGAGCTCCGACAACTCTTGGCACCTCTCTCCAGCGACTGAGAGAGGCCAAACGCCGTCCGCCGTCCCAGGATCTCCGAACGTCCTGTCCTGTGAGTCAGGGAGTTGACCTGTTTCTTTTTTGGTCCGAGTCCGAGTTCATTTTGGTTTGTCCTGGAATGGCCCAGTCAACCGTTGGGTCCTTTAATGGTTTTAACATCACAGTGTGGTGAAGGAAAATCATCCTGTAATCAACTGCAATGACATGCAATGACCAAATGGCCACACAAGTGGTTTCCCATTCCTTTTCTACAAGACCAGCAGAATCTGCGACCCCGTTGATTCCACTTCCGAAACTCCAAGCCATTCCGGAAAGCAAATGTCTTTGTGCCGCCTCAAGTTGGAGTAGCCCTAAGCCTAGAGATTTCCAGCATGATATATGATATAGGGATTGGATGCAATCTTGCCGTGAATCCCTATAAATTATATTATCCCCGTGACCCCTGTGATTTTCATAAAGGATACTGACATGGATATATTATATAATACATATATATATATATATCCTATTTGGCCACATCTTTCATCCTTCCATCGCACAAGTGATCTGCTTCTGGTCCCTTCCGCCTACCGCCTACGGCCTCGCTCGGGCGAGGGGCCAAAAGAGCAGCCACCAGGGAGAGCGCCCAAGCCTCGACCGATCGAGGCCGGATGGACCAGTCGGTCGAAACACCCTGGGTTTAAGCCAGTCGGCCGTGCGAAAAACGGCGGGTTGAAGCCACTGGAACAAAAGATCATGATAGAAGAAGTACACATCAGGCAGAGTCTGCTGTTCATCAAACCAAAAACTGGGATCTGGGGAGTGGCTGTTCAAGTCCTCTGGGGGGAACGGCCCGGAACGGCTGGTTCCTGTGCATCAGTGACTGCTTTGGAAGATTGAGCCGCTTTGCATCGCGATAAGAATCTGACCGGGACTTCCTAAACAGGGGCTACCTGTTGGCCAAAGAGCTTTCTGCTTTCTCAGGGGATTTACAACTCGACACCTTTTGTTGGCCAAAAAAGCATCCAATCACCGCGCCGCTTGCCACCCAGCTCATCCATTCAAGACATGTAAGGAATTTCTGCATTCTCCCCTTCACCACCCTTTCGTGACCCGTGATGCCCTATTCTTCAGTGACCCAGCTCACATCGCCGCTCGCCGCCCCTGACCTTCTGAGACAAGGGGATGGTTTCCTCTTCCACCCACGCCTGCGCAAGCAATTCCATGCATGGTGTTTGGTACTGAATTGGCTATGGTATGGGGTGTTCCAGGTATATACTCTTGTTGCAGCGCTGAGCGAAGCAGTCTGCGATGTCAACCTCAAAGTGAACATTGTTAGACAAAATCCGATTACAATATGTCTATCGTTCATGGGATGCCTGGAGCAAAGTGTTGCTCAGTTTTCGTGACTCTCTGATTCGATGGTATACAGAAAACACCCCAAAAACACCTCATTATCCTCATTATATATAGCAAAACAACCGTTCAAAGCCGCTTGGGACTGGTGTGCCCGGCAGTTCCACAGATTCACCCAAGTCTCGACTGGACGGCATTGGTTTCACCGCGAGGTCGCGGAAGTCGTCCAATCCGGCCATCTCGTCAGGTCACCCATCAACGCAAAAATGCCCACCGGTTGTGGTTCCTTTGGAGTCCACTTTTCACGCTTACTTATACTATAATATAGAGTGGCTTCCAAAGTAAACAAACATGCATCAGGTGCAGTCGCACCAACTCATGCAGTTTTAGGCGTCAGCGGTGAAGCCTCCTGCGCCGCCCAATCTCCTGTGGAGGAAGCACTCACTATTCCAAACATGCAACTCCAATGTTTTCTGCACCGTCGTTCTTGATGTATCTGCTCGTCATGGTCGAATCCTGTATGTCATAGTCATGGTACGTTATGGTAAAGCTCTTTGTGTCACGGGTCATGTCACCAACAACTTCTGTTTCAACGTACTTGTAGGCTTTAAGACGACACCAAGCCGCCACTCCCACACTTGCGCCCGCAGCTGGCTCCTCGCAATGAGCGATCCGACCGCTGCTTGCGATCCGTCCTCGGTACCCATTTCACAGTTATCTGTTTTGCACTAGTGTTGTTGGTGCCCTCAGAAGACACTGACATGGAAGATAGACCTCTTTGGAAAACGATGTTTAATGAAGGTAGATGAGTAGACCATCAGCCTCGGGTTGTTTCACACGATTAGAGCTGGGTATGATGATATTTACATAATTAATGACACAAACACTATGGCTGGGTTCATTCATATCTGGTCCGAGCCGGTCGAGCCAAGTCCTCTTTCGATCGATCCCGCAAAAAGGGTCACTTCGGGAGTTCCTGCAAACACAGGTTCCATCTGATGGACTTGCAAACGCCATCTGGACAGATTCTATATGATTCTATGTTGCGTGGGAGCAGGAACACGTCACGCACCCGGCAACCGTGTTTCTAGAAAGGGGCAATGAGAGAGGAACAATGACCTTAGAGCAATTCCAGCAGTGATCGTCTAATGCTTGAAACTTGACTCCCCACGGGCTGAGCTTGTGGCGGAGAGGTTTTGGCGGGTGACCTTGATGCTGCGTAGCGTGCATGCCTTGCCTTTGAGGGGTAGCATCTGAGTACAGAATCTGGATAGATTTGGCAGGAAAAGCTCTGGGGGACTTGCTCTTCGTCAATGGACCAGGCTGGCTCTAGTCGGCTTGAACATGTTGTGCTCCCCGAATTCCAAACCAGCAAACCCAAACCTTCGCTCAGCCAGCCCATGCCAGCCCATGCCAGCCCATCCCCCTTATTTGACCAGATCAGGAACCCCATTTTCTGTCTCTTTCCCATCGTCCTCTCAAACCATTTGGATGTCCCTCGCCGTCCGGCCCTCCCCTTTTTCATCAGCGCGATCCGGCCGAGCGCATCCATCGCCTGAACGCTCCGGCGGTGCTGCGTCCGACAGGTCTCCGGTGGCACCGGTGGCGGAGACCTCGTGTCTTCCTAGAAAGGGTCTGAAATGCCAACGGACCTGCAGGTCCAATGCCAACGTCATTGGTTTTTGTGGTTTATTGTGGAGCTTCTGAATGGTCGGAGTAGACATGAGAAAGCGAACGACTCATGATGCAGGAACTCAATGACTCTGCCTCTGTCTCTGTCTCTCTCGCTCTGGGGGTGTGATGTTATTTTCTTTAGGAGGTTCCAGTCCTCTTCTCCGGCAAAACTCCGTTCAGCATACTGGAATACTTCAAGAACCCTAAAGTTTACGCTTCTTACTCTGTTCCAACAT